GAGAATTCCTTGCACAAAGACTCGTTAGTAGCACCGAATATAATGTCGTCTACATAAACTTGAACCAAAAGGATGTTATTGTTTTTACTCTTGATAAAAAGTGTAGTGTCAACCTTTCCCCTTTGGAAACCACTATCCAAAAGAAATTTACTCAAACGTTCGTACCAAGCACGTGGTGCTTGTTTAAGACCGTAGAGCGCTTTCTTGAGTTTGAAGACGTGATTGGGAAACTCAAAGTTCTCAAACTTCGGGGGCTGGTCAACATACACTTCCTCTTGAATAAAACCATTGAGGAAGGCACTCTTAACATCCATTTGATAAAGTTTAAAATCCATAGACGAAGCAAAAGCAAGAAGTAAACGAATAGCTTCTAAACGTGCTACAGGTGCATAAGTTTCTTCGAAATCAATGCCTTCTTTTTGATTGTAGCCTTTAGCTACGAGCCTAGCTTTGTTTCTAGTGATTATTCCATTTTCATCAAGTTTATTACGGAACACCCATTTCGTACCAATAACCGTACGATCATCGGGGCTTGGCACCAATTCCCAAACGTCATTTCGTTTGAATTGGTTTAGCTCCTCTTGCATAGCCAAGGTCCAATGTTCATCGTTTATTGCTTCGGAAATGGTTGTATGTTCAATTTGAGAAACAAAGGCCATGTGTCCTACGGTTTCCCTAAGTGAGTTACGAGTACTTACCCCGCGGTTGATGCTACCGATTACCTGGTTAAGCGGATGGTTCTTGTTTGTTCTCCATGCAGTAGGAAGCTCGGTTGCTTCTTCTTCTTCGTGTTCCTCTTGTTCTTCTTCTTCCTCTTGTCTTTCATCATCACCTTGGTTAGTTTCTTGAGGTATTTTCTCAGTTTGTGGCTGTGTGTTGGGGTAAATACCCGTGTTCTCCTCATCGTCATCAACGTGTATTCTCTCTAATGAATCTGCAAGATCATCACAAATATCCTTTCTCGCCAAGCGAGGGTTATCTTCGGAAAATGCAACGTGAGGAGACTCCTCAATAGTCAAGGTGCGTTTATTGAAGACTCTATAGGCCTTGCTACGTAATGAGTAACCCAGAAAAATTCCTTCATCCGACTTAGCATCAAATTTGCCTAAATTGTCTTTACCATTGTTATGAATAAAACATTTGCAACCAAAGACTCGAAGATGGGAAAGGTTTGGCTTTCTCCCTTTGTATAGTTCATAGGGCGTTTTCATGAGTATCGGTCGAATGAC